GGGCAAGGGAAACCCCATTGCAGGTACATGTGCGCTGGTGGATTGCTAACTCTGGTCACCCTGCCACGCAAGGACTTATATTTTTGAAAACAAACAAACACACACACACACACACAAATGCATGCAAAACACACATTCACACACACACACACACACACACACACACACACACACACACACACACACACACACACACACACACACACACACACACACACACACACACACACACACACACACACACACACACACACACACACACACACACACACACACACACACACACACACACACACACACACACACACACACACACACACACACACACACACACACACACACACACACACACACACACACACACACACACACACACACACACACACACACACACACACACACACACACACACACACACACACACACACACACACACACACACACACACACACACACACACACACACACACACACACACACACACACACACACACACACACACACACGTGTACACTCACGCATACACACATATACTTACGCATACACACATGCACATGCACGCATGCACACACACACTCACTCACACACACACACACACACACACACACACACACACACACACACACACACACACACACACACACACACACACATCAATTAAATACACACATGATGATTAACAAGCGGCTAGGGCACCCTGTAAGAAGACCATAGGTCTGTGGGGACTGCCCTAGTAAAATATGAATAAATAATAATACTAATAATAACAAGTAGAATAGTAAAATACGCTGTCTTACATTGGCATGTGGTTCCGTTCACACACATCAGTCCCCCCGTGCACATCGGACTACAGCTGTTCTCTGGACAAGAAAACACCAAGATGGAGTGAAAACATGTGTCAGTTATACATACCGTAATGTCGCGTGCATTAGCCGGGGCTTATATGCCTATAAGCCGGTGATGGAGTCAGGCTTGTACACAAGACAGGCTTATACACGAGACAGGCTTATATGACAAGCACCACTCAATGACCAGGCTTGTATGCGCAAACTGCTGACTTTTGGACGTCAAAACCAACATTTCCAACGGGATTTTTTTCTTTTTTTTCGCAAGTGTACGGTACCATGCAAACATGAACATGTAAAAGGCGCGCTCACCAGTCTTGCGTAGTAGCCCGGCTTACGCACGCGACACGTGGCGCGTCTCGTGTACTGGCCCGGCTTATGCATGCGACAGGCTTGTACGCGAAAAGCTGTTGCAGATTTCATGCTTCTACACGAGACAGGCTTATGCACAAATCCGGCTTATGCACGCGACATTACGGTACTGTATTTCCCCGATTGTAAGTGACACTTGATTGTAACTCGCAACCCCATTTCCAGGTCCAGGTCCATATCACTATCATTATTGTTTTGACATGTTCACTTCAGTAGTAATTCATATTCAATTGTAAGTCGCACCCCATTTGTTGGAAATGAAGTTTAGGGTAAAAAGGTGCGACTTATATTCGGGGAAACTCGGCACCTCTCACCATTGAAGGCATAGTCACATACAGTAATCAGACTTGCCAAGGCGACCACCTGTTGAAGAAGACCACGGCCACCAGCACAAATGGATGCTATGGCCAGTTAAATGAGTCTGGATAAGCAGACCCCCTGGTGATAGAGACCAGGTTGTGACGGCCCCTTGTGTAGAGCTCATCACGATAGAGAATCTCTATCGCAATGAGCTATACGCACAGTTGGTGCGTTTGTTTACTGCCATGAATCGATTCATGAATGGAATCTCGTCGTTCGATTTCATGTCATGAGCCCTGGAATGGGTTCGGAATCCATTCACCCTACTCACATGGGGTGATGTGAATAGCCAGGGGCGATTCATGAATGGATTCAACATCGATTCGTGGGCAAAATGGAACGCACTCAGCGGCTATGCGTGCTGCCAAAAGGTGTGAGAAACTGGTCAAACTCACCTGCCGCAGCTTGAGGGTCTAGCGCTGTTTTCGGCCATCCACGTCATTCCATACATACAGCACAAAAGAAATGAGACGCACAGCAAAATCCAGTCACAATTGCTCATCCTGGCTGCTAGACACAACCATGCATAGTAAAACCTGTAATGGCGACTATTCGACCATGGTGACTACTTTTCCTTGTCACCGACACGTATGTTATGTTTGTATGTGCGCGTAAGCACGCTAGGCTCTGCGCATGTTTGCTTGCACGCTATGCTCTGCGCATGCGCACTCCAGTTCAGACTTCCTGTGTCTGAGTTGTTCTTCTTTCTATCTTGTTACTTTGCACGTCCATTATTCTCTTTGTAAATAATCCTAATACATTCCACAACTGTGTGTTCTTGTGAGTGGGAATGTAACATTGGCGACGAAGATGGAAGACGACAAGCGTCTTCAGAGTTTTGATACGTCAGGCCCAGCTTCCCAGGTGTCCATCCGTTGGCGGAAGTGGGTGAAATCTTTTTAAGTATTATTTAGTGGGCATGGACATTTCGAACAAGAAGCGCTCAAGAGCATTGCTGTTGCACTTTGCGGGGCCACAGGTTCAAGACATTATTGATGACCTACTTGACCCTGACGATGCTCTGCCAGAGGAGCAGAAGACCCCGAATGATAACGAGTACCTGAAATGTACTCTTGCAAAACCAAACGCAGTACACCTGGTACGCATGATTGTAGTCTTGCTAGCAGCCTAGTTCGGGAAATACTCGCAACTACTGTGTTATTCTGCTAAGTAGGGACAAGTAATATTACATGTTGGGGGTCATACTACTGACAGTAGTTTTTGCGAAACAACGACTCGCTCATTTCAAATTTTCAAGAGAGGGATTGAGTATTGGACATACTCATGTTACCCTAACAGTAAAAGGTGTGTTTGGTTTGTACAAACTAGAAAAGGATCGGACAGCTGGTGCACATGGAGCAGCCTCATGCCAACCAAACGGTACTCCAGAAACAGAGCACATTTTTTGTGAAAAATGTGCCAAACTTTGTTCATTCTTCAAAATGTTTATGAGTCACCATGGTCATTTTGTACGGTACAACGAGTCGCAAGAATTTGTATTGTGAATCGGCCTTTACAGTCCCTAACACTTGACATTTTTGATAATCCAAAATGATAGTCCAAGAACCCTTATCATGCAGCAAAAAATTATAGGAACTGATGCCTGAGAGCAGGGATTTTTTCAGTATTTACCCTCATAGGATCTGCCAATGAGCTAAAGCATAGTGCATTTGACAGTTGCCGTTAAAATACAGCAGGGTGCCAATTGTCAGCCACCCTTCGGGGCACTGGCCATTTCCACGGTGATCAGAGGAGAAGAATGGTCGGTTATGGGACCACTCATACATCTATCACATGCATATTCCAGCAAATTTTCACCATTTTGAATTCTCTTCGGTAGTACAACAGGACCTAGGTGCACTCCAGCTTCTCATCGTTGTACATTTTGACTGAACAACCTGCTGTAAAACATCTTGGGCATCGCTTGAGTGGTGCTCCGAGTGGCAAAAATCAGCAAAACTTCAAACAAAAAGCTACCAATTTTGTATGTTGTCCAGCCCGACCAGGAGATCCGGATAACCGATTGTCCGGATAGTTAACGTCTGCACAATCGGTGTTTGACTGTAAAATAATATCCCATCATACCCCTCTTGCGAACACCAAGATATGGCCTGCGCTCCCAGGGTTGCGGACAATCGCCACGCTACACTGCATAGACTTTCTCCCAACAAATAAAGTTGCTTGCGCCAAACAAGCAAGTCGCAATCAAAACTTCGAAATTACGGGAAAAACACAACCTGATCCTCAGTTCAGGAAGGGCTCTCTATATTGGGATCCACTGTGCGTGCAAGGAATGCTTGGATACGACATGTTTGCACGTTGCAAGGTCACATCGTACATAGTGGCACATTATTAGCACAAGCCCTGTTCAGACAGTTAACGGTGGCACAGGACACATGTTACACAAATGCACAAATGCACAACAGTATACTCATCGTGCTGAGGTCACACACAAGGGCAGAGCACTACTTGTGCATGGTAAGAGCACTAATTGCGCATGGTCAGCCTTTTAGGTTAAGGAGCCTTGTCTCACTTACTGACACAGAGAATCTGGGCTTGAGTTTTGCTTGTGGCGTTCTGAAACGTCTGCTTTTGCGCGCTAAACATTACGGTTCTGTAAAGGGAACGGCCATTGACTCGGATTGACGCGACGTGGTAAGGTGCTTGCTGGTGCTTATGCAATAGGGCCAACTTCTCTAGCCAGCGCTCTGTTAACACATGGCCATGTTCTTCTAGCCACTCCTTGGTAATGAGATGATATCCGTACTCCTGACATGCGTCCTCTGCGAACTGCTCAGTCACGCTGGGTCTGTGTGCTGGAGTTGCTGCGGCGTGTACAGAATCGTTGGCCTCGAGCCATTTGGCTGCAAATCAAGGGAAAATACAGTTGCGGGTACAAACACATCATGAAACAAATCTACGAATAAGGGAGGCTTGAAATCAAATTCCCCGCTCCATGACACCTGACCTCATGGATACGGAAGGGCCCAGAGCTAGTGAGTAGTTCAATGTTCACAGGCCTGGGGCTCGCCAGACTTCATAGAGCAGCACCGTGTCACATTTGCGAATCATTCAGCGGTTCTACCAAAGGAGTAGTATAACACCGGGTTATGGCACAAGCATACACATGACATGTTTCTTCGCAGATGAAACTAATTGGTTACTCATGTGTGGATATGACCCTGGCTAGAGCGGTAGGTTTCTCATTGAAGAGGGAAACCTCGGTAGCATTCACTACTCTCGCCCTCTCTGTTTCATTCCTCCTGTCCCACTACTATCACTGGACACACCCTTTAACCCATTCACCGCTATATTTATACATCATTGAAAATGATGCCCAGGCGCTGAGGATGTATATATATGAGTGGTTGCTCCCAAGGTTCCTAACTATTATATAGAGAATTAGAAAAGTTGCCTGACGATTGAAAAAAACTCAAGAAACTCGGAGTACCAGATATGGATCGATCGAAGAAGGATAGATTGACCATCACTGTGGATAAGAGTCATACTGTAGCTCAGTTGGTTAGAGCATTGCTCGCGAATAGCAAAGTCCCTGGTTCGAGTCCCGGTGGCGTGACTGATGATTTTTTTCTTTCTTTCATATCTGGCTTGCAAGTGTTGAGTTTTTCGGAGAGAAAAGAGCAGTACGTGGCATGTGGCCTCTGGTTTCCCAATGCGCTTATAATGTGAACACTATTGGTGAAACACCCGGGAGCTGATAACACCGTTGTTTAGAACACAGACAAACCTTAATTGCACATAATATAAGCGTATGGGCTTCTACCCGGACATGTTCACACAGCAAAAACTCTTTTTTTGCAGCAAATTTTCACATATATGCCCATGGGCGTATATGTGGGGAAGTATGGTATATACCGGTATAGATTATACATCTTTTTCATTGCCAAATAAAAAGTGCAGAGCCTGGGTGCCATGGTCTATAGCCTTAAAGGGGTTAAAACGCAACAGCCTACCTTCACAGATGACATCATGATTGCCTCTTCCATCCCTGTCAAATAGTGCGTCGCTCGAGTTGTCCTTGCCTTGCTTGTAAATAACATGCTGACCAAAGTACATGTACGATGTCCATATCTTGAGAGGGGTGCTGTAGCTGCTGTTACTTCTAGCCATCATCTCGCTCAGCAATGATTTTATGCAGTCGCTAACACCCAGCTTCAAGCCAAGCTCAGTGAAGGAATTATAGTCTACGAAGTTGTATCCTCTTCTCACGCACATCTCGCGGGCGTGCACGAAGTTCGTTTTCTTCTGGCAGCTGCCATCGTCGAGATGTGGATAACACGGCAAGCTGGCAAGAGCCATCCAGGTGTATATTGCATTATTTGTGCCCAGGCACTTTGTCTTGAAAGCTGAACATAACACAGTACACATGCAAGACACAGTCAGGCGAAGTAGAACACAACTGCAGCACACTCTAACACGACGTACACCGACTTTCTCAGATGGATACCGGAGTCCAGTTCAAATAATAGATAGGTTAAGATGCATGTTATTTCCGATAAAATATTGGTTGGGGATTGTCTGAAGCATATTCAAGCGAGGTACAGTCGGGCTTGATGACTGATCAAAGCCCTCGGGCTGGTCCCTTGGGCTTCGATCAGCCATCAAGCCCTCCGTATCTCGCTTGCCGATTATCTACTTTAGTAACGTTACTCTGATTAGGCGTATATGCAAGCAGGCTATTGAATAATTTCGCGGTGACCGTCTTTGCACCGGGTTTGGAGAGCTGAGCCATGGTTAGTTCATAGATAGTGAGGGAAGGAGATGCGAGGGGGGGGGGAGCGGGGGGGGGGGGGGGGGGGATACCAATAATTAAACTTCCGAGGCACTTCTTTTGGCACTTGAGACAATTTCTGTAACAATCAAGTGCTTTAGAAGTGATTTACACGACGGCAGGACTCATCCCATGCCTGATGCTACCATGGAGATCTAGTCACATGTGCTCATATTTCGGCGCGAACGGATCCCGGTACGGTCCCGGTGCCATGAGGGGCTGGGGGGAGGGGAGGGGGGGGGTGGTTGGAAATGCATATCGTGACATTCCGTGGTCTGTTTTGCAAGCTCTCGGGATCATGTGCTTCTCTTCCCGGCGGGATGCACTGCCGTCACGTAAATCGCCTCTTAGGAAGTCAGACAGATCTTGAGCTGGTCTCCAGAAAAGCATGCTGTCTTCAAGCACTAGCTTCCTGTGTCCGAAAGAAGGGGGGGGGGTGGTAAAACACAGGTATGAATCGGTTCGGAACCCAAATTTGGTTCCGAACCGATTCATAACTTAAGAATAATTGTTGATGTATGCATGTACATGAATGGTCACAATTCCCAGGAGCATGTGAATCAAAGAAACACGAGTATTCACTTCATTTAGAAGTTACTTACCATGTTGGCACTGGTCTCCATGGAAACCTTTCCGGCAGTTGCAGGTGCCGTCTTCAGTACACTGACCATCATTCAAGCAATTGCACACTGCAGTAGAGATTGGGTGCATTCACGTATTTCCCAAAACACACAAATAGGGATAGAACTTGAATAACCTATTGGATTCTCAAGTCGTTGTCGCATGTATCTTGATCATCATGACATTGTATAGACCTCAACATCACCACAAACACTAACACAAACACCCATTCACCAATCCCAGGTATAACCAACTTATAATCATGCTTCGTACTTGAATAGAACACACGTTCAGCTAATAAGCTGGAGAACCAGGCATAAACGCTGGGAAGTACTTTTTCTTGTCTTCAAAAACAACAGTCCAGCACGCGGGTATGCATGGGTCATATATTCTTTGACACGCGGGCTAAAATGGCAGCAGCCTTCTTTAGCCCTTACCTTCTGTGCAGATGGGTCCGTCTGGTCTCGGTTTACATTCACATGCTTTGTTCTTTTTCACCCAGGGATTTGTGCACACAGCTGCATTACATATCACACACAGAGAAGACAAAATGAGAGAGCGGATCAGCCATACACAAAATGGACAGACAAAACGAGAGTGTTGTGGAATTATCCACCACCAGACCAGCGCAAGGATATAAGTTGGACTATAATTATTAATTTCAATTCCAAAATGCACAAGAAGTGTACAGAAGAAAAAAGCACGAACTCGACCAGGCCAGAAGCAAGAAGAACTGAACACAAGAGATTGAAAACCCTTCTCCTCAACAAGCTGCATCACGTACAACGCAAAACAACTGGCTGCACCAGTGTGTGCATCAGCGCGTGCACCAGCGTGTGCACCAGCGCTGCACCAACGTGTGCACCAGCGAAATCAATATCGAAAGTACGTATCAATCATTACATTACATACAACATGCGCAAGAGGGTTACTCTACTTCACGACGTAGAAGAACGGCATCACCAACGGCGAACAGACAGTTATCAGCTTCAGACTCAACAAAGTCCTTGGAGGACAGCTCAGCTTCCACAAAATCACGGATCCGAGCAGCCTGGCGTTCAAGATCAGATGGAGTCCGGCCCAGCCCAGGAGTAGCCGACAAGAGAACACCGGAGGGCTCCCAGCCAAGCATCGCACACATAGGAGAAATCTTGAGGACAGAGTGCGCACGAATAGGGTCGAAATACAGTAACACGTCCAGCTCAGATCGCCAATCATCAGCCTCATCCAACACCTTCCGAATTAAGGTGAGGAGAGTGCGGTTAAATCACTCAACAGATCTCTGTAATAGGGGATGACGCACGGCACCGTTGAGCACTGTCACACCAAACGTGTCAAACAGCGATGACATCATGGCGTTGATGAATTCCGTGCCATTATCACAGCAGACCACTCGGGGCGGGCCCCACCGCGTACACAGGCCGACAAATGCCTCGGCCACTGATGCCGCGTCATGTTGACGGAGCAGAACCACTTCCACCCACTTGGTGAAAGTATCCATGCAGACGAGAACACAATGGTACTCTCCACTCTGATCGACGCCCAGTTCCAGAGTATCTATTACTACAGCACTCCATTGGGCCATCAGCCACCACAGGGCGACTGGCATCCGCCGAAACGCCCTTGGTTGGGCTGGCAGCAGCACACGGCGAACAGTGGCGCACAAAAAAACTGCTGACATTGGGCAGCCATGTTCGGGAAATAGCACTTCGAGCGGAGGAAGCGCAATGTACCCTCCCAAGACGCATGACCACAGTTCACATGAGCAGCACGAACGACATCGGACTCGAGTGAACTAGGAATAACAGGAATGACGACTGCATCATTGGGCGGCAACTTCACACTTCGACACAGCATACCATCATGGACTACGAGCTGTGACTTGACCTTGACAAACGCAGGATCAGTAACTGGGTCACCATCGATGACTTGCTGGCAAGTCGCAACAATCTGAGGATCTGCATTCTGAGCAGCACATACTCTGTCCAATGAGAATGGACTAACGGTCACAACCGCAGCGGTGACGGACGGTGCAATCCGAGAAAGGAGCGTCTTGCCACATCGGATCCAGCTGCTGGGAACACGGGTCAATTGATCCGCTTTGTTCTGCTGACTGCTGATCCACTGGACCTTGACTGTCAAGCCCGTGACAGCGACGAGATCAGTGATAATCTGGAGACGGCGCTGTACAAGTACCTGCTGCAGGCCGCTGACGCGAACACGAGACACCTTGCCAAGCACCGATTGCAACCAAGCAGCCACAGTCTTGGAACCGGTGAATAGTGTGAGCTCCTTCACTTGCCACTGCATGGCAAGGTGCAACCCCTTGATCACAGCGTCACGTTCAGCGATGTTAATGTGTCGCCGGTCGTCCTTCTGCCGCAGCCATCAGCCATCCTCGACAATCCTACTATCGGCCTGAATGACAGCACCATGTGTGATGTCCGAAGCATCACACCACAACGACCACTGTGCGTCTTCAGGAACTGACAACACACCTTGCGCAGGGTCATCGGTCTGCAGACGGTGAATGACTTCCGCACAACAAGCGACGACTTCATGAGACACTGGATCGTCCCATCCAGGCTGAAGGCTAGACAGACGCTTCAGATAACTGCACGCCAGGCGCAGCCAGGAGCCGACAGGATAGTGGCTGGTCAGCTTGCCACACCAGTTGAAAATCTCGCGCCTTGTGACGGCATCGGGCTGACAGGTCGGCATGACGTCACCACGACGCTTCCACCTCACTTGGCCATCTGCAGACTCTGACAGCAGCAGGCCGAGTACCGTAGTAGAGACGACTGGCTCCGCTGGCTTGGTGGGCAATCTGTACTGCGACAACTGATCGGTGACAGCACGCAGACGAGGCTTCGGAGCATACAAATCGTCGACATAGTTATCCACATCAGCATACGCACGGAGGACGCACTTGACGATTATGTCCATGAATTTGGGCGCAATCGATAGACCGAAGCCCATCCTCTCCATTGCGAACAGCTGGCCCTTCCAGACGATCGTTTGTAACTTGGCGAGAGCTGGCGCGATGCGGATGTTGAGGTAAGCCTTGCTGATGTCCAGCAACACGTGGCTGTCGGCGTTGCCAATAGACCTCCACTGACGCAATTTCTCTTGGCAAACAGGCACGTCCAAACCTGGATGCGACACAATCAACTTGTTGAGTTGCCGGTAGTCCAAACGCGGGCGGACAGGGGTGGACTCCTTGTGTGTCTGGAACACCGCCAACAAGGGAAACACAGCACCAGGCTCACCATGGACTGCTTGGTCATGGGGTACCAACCATCCATTGCGGATCAACATGTCCACTTCCTCGCAGAACTGTGACTCTTACCGTCTGTCCCCCTCTAAGCAATTTCTTTGTATTGTGATGAAAAGCAGAAATAATAAGAAAAGATGAAATGAAAGCCTGCTCCGCACAACCCGGTCCAGCCTTGCGAACTGGGTATGGTGGATTAAGAACCCGGGTCAACGCTCGAGCAAGCGCTCTCCACTCCAGGTGTTCACAGCAACTGTTAGGGAAATTATAGAAAAGAAATAATAAGATGAAGTCAAGCTCATTTGAATTTTCGGTTTGTACAGTGTTTGCAGCAGCGCGGATTCGAATCTCCTCACGCATGTTCCTGTCGATGACCCCGAGTACGTTGTCGTGCCTCCAGGTGTATACGTGTAACGTCCTGGTCTAGCGCTACGCGACAAGTGACAAGCACGTGGCGCGTAGTACAGGCCCAGGAGAAAGAGAGAGAGAGAAAGAGAGAGGGAGAGAGAGAGAGGAGAGAGAGAGAGCGAGATGGAGGGAGCACGAACGCACGTACCGGAATGCTAGCGTAGCGCAGCTACCTTGGATCGTGATGGCGTACTTATCCATGCGCTGTTGGGTTTGTTCCTCGCCGAACGGCTTCACCTGTACATTTACAACACCAACGTGTGTTGTTGACACCAACGCTGCAGTCACAAATGACGCCTCAGCACCGGAGTCCAGGAACACGCGAACCTTCGCCTTTCGAGTTCTTCCCTCAACTTGTGCAACTCCGCTCATCAGCCGCACACTTGCTGAGTGTAGACAGCACGATCCAACCTTCTCCTCTGTTACTATCTAAGTCGGTTTCTCCCGGCTGTAACCTGCTCCATTCAACACATCATTTATTAGCAGATGGTGCTTCCCCTGGCATTTTGTGCACCTCAAGCCTGACCGATAGTCCCTTGCCACATGGCCATACTTGAGGCAGTTCCAGCAGAGTCTCTCTCGCTGCAGAAAACCTTTCTCCCTTCCTGTGGCATCGACTTTAGCTGCTTCTCTGCATCTGCGACTAGGTGAGAAAGTACTCATTATGTGCAGTAACATTGAGTGCCGAAGAACAACTCTCCTTTTCCTAGCTTGAACTTTCACCTGACGACGGACAAAAGCAAAAAATAGCTTTCAATGTTTTGCCGAGAGTAGGTAACAAGCTCATCAGCTCAAATGCCTTACTCTTGAAGAACAAAAAGATTACAATTTTTGTAATGAAACAGGCTGAACACTAAACTCAGGAATAACGGGGTTTCATGTAAAGTAACTTTGAACAGTTCACATCCACTCTCGGACACTAGCGAAATACAATAAGAACAAGAAGCTGAAATCTGGAAAACAAGAACATTGCTGGTCTGAAGCCGGGACCCCATCCTAGGTACCTGAATGCTATTGCATGGTTTTAATTGGCATGAGTAGACTGTAAACATACTCTTAACACACCCTGATAGATGCAGGACTAGAGGAAAAAACACAGGCTAACAGCTGGATCTTGAGTACCTAGCCGGAAAATATAAAGACGCTCCGTAACGCATGACAATGGCAGGCTTCTATCAGCCACATGTAAAGTGCTGCCAACAAAATTGGTCTCTGGAAATTGGCGCAATGAGCATAACTTTGGAGTTTCCACATCCCGGACAATTTGACTGTGCCGACACCTCTGTACTCATTACAAATTGCTGACTGACCTTGACATTGAGTTCCATTTCCGTGGTAACCTGACTTGCACAGACACATGTATCCGCCATCATTATCAATGCAGATAGCATCGACATGGCATGGGCTAGCCGACAAACATTCATCAATGTCTGAACAACAGTAGGTAAGCAGAATGCAAGGGGTTACTAACTGATTACATACTGCATTGTAACCATGGCCAGCGTCATATAGGCACAACAAAAACAATTCAAATTCATCAGACAGATCTAATAGCCTCAATCTCAATTGCTGCGAAAACAATTTGATCTTTTCTTGAGATTATAAACACTTGTGTCGCTGTCGATTGATTCTACAAACTCTGCTATAATCTATACTTGTCCAAATTCTGAAACCAGCAGAACATGTGCACAGATAAATCATGCAAACTGCTGCTGCACAGATCATTTCAGCGGACAGTGGGGTGTTATGGCAGAAGCAGCAGAGGATGCGGCAAAGAACGAACAAACACAAAAAGGAACTCTGACCAGCTTTCAATACCACACAAGAAAACAGGAAATGGTTTGGTTTGCAAACACTGCACACCATCATCAAGTAGAGCATGAGACTCTTAATCTCAGGGTCGTGGGTTCGAGCCCCACGTTGGGCGCCAATGTTGTGAAATTTCCCCCGCTCCCCGCCAAACAACCACTCTCTGACTCATTCACGTGGGCAAGAGGACGACACAGTTACTTGAACAATATCTCTCGGAATAAATAAATAACTGGTGGGCGGGATAACGGGGGAGAAAAGACAAAGAAATAATTAACAACCAACAGAGAAAAGGGCGAACACATCGAAACGACCAATCAGGGACTAATACGTACAGAACACATGACCCGACCAAGACAACCAGACCACGGACGAGTCACACATGACTCTCATTCCCAGACCAAACTAGCACTGCGCATGTACAGCATTCATTTGACAGTCACTCTCACACAGACGGAAGTACATCCTCACTCTCTGACAACGCGTATTCTTGCATGCACCACATACCATAAACGTCACACATCACACCATATTCGCGCGTACACTTAGACCATATATGACATCAGACACTGGACTCCACCAGCCAAGAGCCAAATACAACAACATGCGTAAATCATAGTCGATCAGAAATCCGCAACAGTATGATTGAACTGTGTGCCATAATCATCGACTCGAGTGGTATTTGAGAAAACTAGCGAGTATTCAAACGAATACGAGTATTCTATTGACCAGACATAAAACAATGCACGCCTACACACTTGCAAAACCAAACGCAGCACACCTGGTACGCATGATTGTAGTCTTGCTAGCAGCCTAGTTCGGGAAATACTCGCAACTACTGTGTTATTCTGCTAAGTAGGGACAAGTAATATTACATGTTGGGGTCATACTACTGACAGTAGTTTTTGCGAAACAACGACTCGCTCATTTCAAATTTTCAAGAGAGGGATTGAGTATTGGACATACTCATGTTACCCTAACAGTAAAGGGTGTGTTTGGTTTGTACAAACTAGAAAAGGATCGGACAGCTGGTGCACATGGAGCAGCCTCATGCCAACCAAACGGTACTCCAGAAACAGAGCACATTTTTTTGTGAAAAATGTGCCAAACTTTGTTCATTCTTCAAAATGTTTATGAGTCACCATGGTCATTTTGTACGGTACAACGAGTTCAACCCAAAAAAACGTATGCACGTGATCATTTTGGGACCAAAATCGATGTTCCTGCCAGGTTTTACTGTGAACAAGTGAAACTGCTCGGTCTTCTCCGGCCTCGAGGCCGGAGCTAGCAGAACATGTTCTGGTCGACCCAGAACAGGTGCAGTCCCAACCAAACACGCTGTTCTGGTGAATCCTGTTCTAGGTCATACCAACCAAACGCACCCTAAGAAGCATGCGTATTCACTTCACTTACTATGCTGACACTTGTCTCCGTGGAATCCTTTCTGGCAGTTGCAGGTGCCATCTTCAGTACACTGACCGTGATTCAAGCAATTGCATACTGCAGCAGTGATTGGGTGTATACACGTATTATCCAAAGCACACAAATGGAAATAGAACATAGTATATTGGATTCTCAAGAAGTTGCTGCATATATTTTGATCATCATGAGATTGTCTAGACCTCAAAATACCTATTTAAAACACTCATTCACCAATCCCAGGTATATCCGAATCATACTCATTCGAATCTTTTCTTGTACAGTGCGGATCGGCTATAGGGTTATCGGCTATAGTAATATGCCTCTTATAGTGATCGTATTCTCAAATTCATTTTCGTAAACCACCCCTTTCTATACATATCGGATCGGCTATAGTAATAATCGGCTATAGTAATAATCGGCTATAGTAATAATCGGCTATAGTAATAATCGGCTATAGTAATATATCGGCTATAATGATACGATTTCTTTGTCAAAATGATCTTATTGCAAACATTTTTCATCGGCTATAGTGATGATCATAAACAATTATACATCGTACATGGCGAGATCTGATCGCGGCAGTCAGGAAGCGCTGGTACGACTATGATATCCCTCGGAGGAAATAATTCGAAATCTTTGGCGTGGGCTGTGCTTGTTGTTCCCGGGCATCCTCGAGCGAGATCGGAGGCAGTAATGAGTACCAGCGCTGAAGCGCTACCGTGGTCTCCGTCGAGATGTTGGAGAAGGCATTCAGGTAACAGCGAAGACAATCAAGGACGCCGAGAAGCTTCTCCGTGAAATACGATCGACCTGCTACTTGGAACGGTTTCAGCGGTGATGAGTCGAGCGATGGCGACCCAGACTGAGACTCTACTCCCACTAATCGATCCTGTAGATATTGTTATGTCGATTGAATGTGTTGAAGTGTTTCTCTTCCAAAAGAACACATTTGTTGAACACAGCAACTCCATGAAAACTCATGTCAAAAAATCACGAAGTTTTTGTTTCCGCAGGAAGTAGCTCTGCACGTTGCACTGATTCGAATGACACCATACACGCATTTGTCAGGCATACCTAAGTATGCATATCGCCTATAGTAATATATCGCCTATAGTGATATTTTCACGAAAATCAAACACCAACGCTATAGCCGATCCGTACTGTACATAAATGGAACAAATTTTCACCCACTTGAAGTCGGATTATGCTGGAAACCCTGGCATGGAAACTGGGAAGTACTTGTCTTGTCTGGAATTATAACTTTCCATCGTCCATGTACCCATGAGTCTTAGTGTGTTGAACTGCTCTGGTGGTGGCACACACAAACAATGCTATCAATACCTTCGGAGATAACACACCACGTCAAACGTACAACGAACCAGCATAGTCGATGCCGGTAGTTGCGAACGGCCTCTCGTGAACAACTCGGTCTGTTGGCAGCGGCGGGCAGACTTCGGAGGCAGCCTCAGCCTTGTAGCGGCGGCATATAACACATCACTGAGTAATTTTGCGTAGCGCTCGTTGACCGCCGATAATCCAGAATTTCTGACGGATGTACAACAAGACCCCTTCTACACCTTGGTACATGCTTTCGACGTGCGTTTTCTCCAACAGCTACTCGGTCAGATGATGTTTACCTATTAGAACTGGGTGCTTGGCTCCATACGCCAACTCGCTGTAGTGGAGTCGTCCCCCGGCTCTGAGCTACCCATGCTCATCCAGAAACGGTGCAAGATGATACACCTTCGACCCAGCCTTCAATGGTTGACCTTGCTTCATCAGCTCAAGGTCCTCAGCGAAACATTTGGCTTGAACGATGCAGTACAATACGTTGTCAGCTGCAAAATAGTTTAGCAAGAGGCTCAGTGTGCTTCCACTGCAACATTCGAGTCGCCATGCCCTGTGCCCACGACCACTTACTGAATCGGAGCCACCATTCATTATCAGTTTCTCGACTACAGGTGGTGGGTGACACTCGCACTTCTACACTGGACTCATCAGTACCAGCGGTTGAGGATGTGGTGGGCCAGTCATTGGGCTCCGTGATCCAGGTTGGCCCGCCCAACAAGAACAGACTACGGATCTGCTGTGCATTACTCCCACGTGACGGAAAATCTGCCGGGTTGTGAAGGCCCGGGCAATGGTTCCACACAAAGCCGACCTTCTTCGATATCTCTTGGTCTTGACGGACGCGGTTCACCACAAATGTGTTCCATTTGTACGATAGATTACCGATCCAATAAACGGTAGTGAGACTGTCAGTCCAGCCATAGACTTGCGTGAAGGTCACACGCAGCTGCTTCACCACAAACTCAGCATAGCAAGCCGCTAGACATACTGCATGTAACTCAAGGCGGGCTAACGTTGGCGGAGACACCCTTGCCACTTTGGCCTTGGCAAATACCAAGTGTGACTGTCCATTGATGACTGCATACAAAGAGCATCGAAACGCTTTCTCACTGGCGTCCGCGAAGGCATGAAGCGCAATAGGCATGTCAAGATTTCAGCAAAACCAACGTGGTATGTCAAAGCCTACCACTTCGGCCAAGTCTCCCCGCCATTGCGCACATGCGGCTGCGATGCCATCAGGCAACTTATTATCCCAGGCGCCACCGAATTTCCAGGCTTGCTGTAGCAGCATCTTTACCGGCACAACTGTAGGTGCTGCTGGACCTAGCGGATCAAACACTGACGCAACACACTTAGGAGGGATCGCCGTGTTCAAACAGGTGGTCTATCGGACTCATCACTGGATTTCCATTTCAGACTGAGGACTTTCTCTCCAGCCTCTGGATCGCATTGGTAATTCGTCCCCTCACCACTTGCGGAACTCCATGCCAGCATCTGTAAGCACACGCACGCTGAACTCTTGCATCTTCTTGGCTTCCGGGGCATTTGAGACACGAGAGACCAAATCGTCAACGTAGAAACTCGTGTCACTTCGACCGGTCCAAAGGAAACGCAGGTACGGACGGTCTTCGGGATTAACCACGACCATGAAGAAAGCCTTGCGGATGTCCACTTGCAGCGCGCTCTTATATTCACGGAACCTTAATTGCATACCCGCGAGACTTGGCAATAAGGACGTTTAGCAAAGCAAAAGTTCGAAAGAAAATTCGAGTCTGGGAATGAGTACAGAAACAAACTTCGAAACTTCCAAAACTTGGACGCGAAGTTGCAGTGGTTTGCGAAAGTTACTTTCTACTTCCTCAGTACGTGATGCACTCTCATTTATGGTAGAACTCCCGTAGATCTACCCCGTATGCGCGCGCCAGAGCTCATGCTTCCTTTTGTGTTCGTACACACTTTCCTTTTGTGTTGAGAATGAAGCTTTCATCGTCTCCCTGCCCGATATGAAATAAATTCTGCCGGACACCACATGGCACAGCAGTACAGTGAACAGAAGTGATCGTGACTGGTTGACGTTCAGTTTCCTTTCCTTTTCATACTTGTTTAATCTTCGCAATGGCTGGCCAGTGGACCCTTGCGTCTTCATCCACCGCAGCACCGGTGTCTGCTGAGCCTGCGATGACGACTACCCCACCAAGCCCCACATTGCCCTCAACACCGTCCCAAGTGAGGTTCGATCTCCAAATGGATTTGTGTATGCTACGCCAGCTCCGTGCACAGGACGCCCCAATCAAGTGTGGCTCCTCTGCGTTTGAGACTGTGGCGGCAGAGCTGCCAGCTCCCAGGAAATTTGGGTTGGTGTCGAAGAAAGCGGTTAGGGATCGCGTGCTGAAGTGCATGGAGCAGCACACGAAGAAGGAGAACTGGGCAAAACGGCTGTAAGTTTTCAGGTGCCCTCCGTATATGTACCAGTAATGTATCACTAGTGAGGAAAACATTCATTGCAAAATCAAAACAAACAGTGCTGTGGTTGATTTCAGTTTTGTACTTGTCTTTTACAAATTCCATTTGACTGACTTTTGACATGACTGCTGTCTGCAGATTCTGTATAACAGAATCCACGCAGCATCATAGTTCAGCATTAAACTGTGCATGTAAAACAAAATGTGTATGGCTACATCATGCTTACGCCCTGACCATATGTGTACAATGTGTTATTTTCCTTTCGTGCAGGTGTGGTTCAGCTGATGAGTTTGCAGAAAAGGAGACCCTCCTGAATGAACTGGTGGAGTTGCAGCGTGAAAAGGAGCAGGTCATGTACAAGGACAACCAAGCTGCGAAACAGCAACGAGAGCAAGCTGCTCAGCTACGTGAGGATGCCTGCGCCACACTTGGGGAAAAAGTTGAGAGAGGAGCAGAAGGACAGTTGGCGGAGCCACCAGCAAAACGGAGCAGGCTGAGCCAGCCAGACTCCGTGTTATCTTACCTCCAAACAAAGAACGATGCCTCAGTACTGCTGGAGAGGGCGCGGCTGGCACTGGAGAAGGAAAAGCTCGAAGTGCAGAGAGAGGAGCAGCGCCTAGCTTCGGAGAATTTGGATGTGGAGAAGGCAGAAAAGGAAGACAAGGCTAAGAATGACAGGCAGAAGAAGGAAGATGATAGAAAAGAACAACAGTTGTTTATGCAAATGATGGCTCGTGTTATTGAGAAAATATAAATGAAATATGTCAAGTCCTTGTTTCTGTGTTGTATACGAGTGCCGCTGTGCCTATATGTGAGCTTGTGTGTGTGTGTGTGTGTGTGTGTGTGTGTGTGTGTGTGTGTGCGTGCGTGTGTGTGTGTGACTGTGTGCGCACGTGTGTGTGTGTGTGTGTGTGTGTGTGTGTGTGTGTGTGTGTGTGTGTGTGTGTGTGTGTGTGTGTGTGTGTGTGTGTGTGTGTGTGTGTGTGTGTGTGTGTGTGTGTGTGTGTGTGTGTGTGTGTGTGTGTGTGTGTGTGTGTGTGTGTGTGTGTGTGTGTGTGTGTGTGTGTGTGTGTGTGTGTGTGTGTGTGTGTGTGTGTGTGTGTGTGTGTGTGTGTGTGTGTGTGTGTGTGTGTGTGTGTGTGTGTGTGTGTGTGTGTGTGTGTGTGTGTGTGTGTGTGTGTGTGTGTGTGTGTGTGTGTGTGTGTGTGTGTGTGATCTAGCCTATCTTTGCTATAAGAGAAAATATATGGGTGTATATCATTTAGAGTACTCTTGGCGGGGTTTGCAGCTCTTTATAAAAATGCTTTGCTTCATGGAAATATATTTCATTGCGAAGAGCTGCGCTTCGGTCCTTTGAGCTGTGCTGATGAGCTCTAACAGAGCGAAACAGTTGCTGTCCACAGACTTGGGTGTATATCATGTACATTTGGAGATTTTCATGCTTCTCTTGTGACCTGGCTGTGTGTGTGTGTGTGTGTGTTTGTGTGTGTGTGTGTGTGTGTGTGTGTGTGTGTGTGTGTGTGTGCGCGTGCGTGCGCACGCTTATGCATTCATTCAATGGAATCACTCCTGGTACCTATCCATTAGACGCCAACGCCCTTTGACTGCTACAAGTTCACTTACTTGAGAATGCACTTAAACTTTATTTCACAAAGGGCTAATTGCGTGAAACCATGGGAACAAAAGCAAAAAGACAACCCATTTCGCCATGGTTTTTTTATTCTCGACTAGAAACTAACAACTCAGCTGCCAACACCACGTCTTCTCCGTGAAACAAAAATATAAAAGGAAAAAAAGTACAGAGTAAATTATCGCGTGCCTTCCCGAAGGGAACTCACGACAGCCGCTATCACTTTAAAACAACAGAAATGTTAATAAGAGAGGGAACAAAAAATAATTATCATAAAACGTGGATGACGTGGCCATAAATAGAACACACAATTCAAGTTTAAGATGGAACAACAAAGCTTGGCATGGTACAGTCACCCAAATGGACTACAGGCGAAGGCACACTCTTCGAAGGCACACTCATCTAGCAGCTGCCATAATCTCTGCTAATTCATTTTTGCACACAGCCAGCATCCTAGATGTGCACCACCATACATTCCTGCAATCCATCTACTCCGAATCCAACTCATTCGCAACCTAAGAATCTTCTGAATCTTTGAGGTACCCACAAAACGCACAAGAAGGTTAAGAAACTCCCCAGCTTCCCTACATCGTAAATCAAGCACAGATATGATTTCAAAGCCTGCGTATCTTTATCTCTTCGGTATGTAACTTCTCGCATAGCTTATCGTAACTATAGCCTCATTATACCACACCGCTGCACTCCATAAACTTTTAATTGGTATCGTTGCGATTTAGAAAGCAGTGTTTTTTTACATATTTTTTATTTGATTCCGTATCTGTGTTCCTTCTGCTCTCTGTGACCACAGGTTATTACGAAAATAAAAATGAAAGATTCCAAAAACGATACCGACAACATCAGCAACATCTACGACAAGTCATGGTTATGGGAGCGGAAATAAAAGACAATGTTGATGGAGGAGTTACTATGTATGTACCACATACAATTGGGCTCGGTGAAACCCAACCCAAAGTGAAAACCTGGCGCCATTTACCAGTTCTGATTGCGTCATAGTAATTTGAACATGTGCACGTCTTGGGTCCAGCGGATAAAGCTACGAAAACTTTTGTATAATGCTAGCAAAAATGCTCCAATAATTGCCTTTATTATGCTGATAATGACGCTTATGAAAGGGATGTAATGATCTTGGTTTGAGACAGAAAAGGAAGAATGGCTGTAAATTGTTAAGAGAGTATGTCTGAGAATACCAAAGTATATGTGCAAGTGGATCTCTCTGATTTCGCTCGAAAAATGCAGGTAGGTTCCCTTTGGGGTGTAGATCGATTGTGCAAAGCCCTTGAAAAAGTTTCTGAAGGGAACCTTGAAATTTGGATACCCCTCAGAAATGGCCGAAATATCACATTATTTATAGGTCTAGAAACGAGTCACGCCACAGCGTATACGAACAAGCTATGAACAAAACTCCATCAAGCCAACATTGCCTCACCTTAGAAGAATTCATGGAGCAGTACCGCTTAGCCACGCCAGGATCCCAGAAGACAAGGTCCATCACCCCCTGACGCCACAAATGATCGTCTTGAAAATAGCCAATTTACAAACGCTGGCAAAACAGCCAGCTACGTCCTCAATTGGCCAGAACTATACACCGGCAGATAGTAGAACACCTCTTCTAGCGCTGAGGACATGCCCCCCATCTTCCTTTTGGGGTTTTCTTGAAAAAAAATATTTTTTAGATTTTTCCACTCGACCATGCTGAAATACGGCCAAAGCCTCCGCGACGTATCCTCAGCAATTTCTACTCCAACACTACTCCAAGGCCGCAGAACAAAGTGTATTGTTGGCTCTGACAAGGAAAAGCAGCGGTGATCACTTGTCACTCCAAACGACAAGCTTCTCCTTGCGCCACCAATAATTTTTTGTGCGACTGTTGATGCAAAAGTGACTGAAGGAATGAGCGCAATTCTTGAATTTTACGGTGAAATCACGTGCCTTGTGACGCAAGAATGCCAAGTCGCGTGGATCACGGCTCACGAGATTTCAGAGTCACCTTCGTCAAGTGCGCTTGTTACTCGCCTTGAACGCCCGTTGGTCTGGAAGTAATCACACTTGTGTTGTTACTGCGCTCAAGAACACGCTGACCGTGTTGTAAGCCTGCGAACCGGGACTTTCCCTGACCATACCTATATATGCTTCAAAGAAGTATATAAATAGAGAGAGAGTGATGGGGAAGCTGTGTTCAGGCATTTCCAAAATCGGCCCGATTGGTTCTGCCTGATCGGCTTTTCGATCGGCTAAGACAATGTCCAAATTCGGCCATATTATTAGCCCCAAAGTCAGAATTTGGCTCAAAGCGGTACTTGAACTCTTGAAGTCACCTCATACAGTATACTGTACGTACTAATCGAATACCACTACTCACCTATGCAAGTGTAGTTGTACAGATAACCGGTACACAAATCGCATTTGTCCAGGTCGGAAATGATGCTACAGTTTTGCCGGCAAATGGTCTCATTCAAACCTATGTGAAAGAAGACAAAACCATCAGTTATTATCTCGTCCGGACCGTTTGGGTGAAGCTTAATTCTCTGTTCTTTCTCGTGCTAGTTATGTGAGGCAGTTGAATGTTCTAGAAGCTGTCCGTTTCCGTATAAGCCTGTTCTTTTAAACAGAAGAAGGCAGTTGTTGATCTGAAGTTGTTTTCGTAGGTCTGCAGATCACTCATCAACATCATTATAACTTGGAATAACCAATAATATGTTTTACATGTTCATTATGTATATCCGGTGGCAACCACACTAGGTACAGGTACAAAATCCGGAACAAACGGCGCTACAATAGAAATTGACTTGGCAACGAGAAAGAAAAGCAACAAGCAACCAGCGTATCCCTTTTGAAAGCCACTTTTGTTGTTTTCGCGTTCCATCTCCTGTTCACGGCTAGCTGGTCGTCGTTCTGTTTGTTTTTGAATGATTTGCCGTTCTTGGCCTTTGTACAATTGTTCGCCTTTGTGATCAAATACAGTGCTGAGAGCAGTTTCTTGTGAAACTCCTCCGAATTCATTTCGCTCAGTGACTTTGATCTTATGACGAATAATATGGGTGTCATCTGCTTATGAACCGAATGAACCGTGGTTTTTACTGACGATGACACGTGCTGGTGTGTGTGAATGCTCAGCCGGGCCGGCACAGCAAAGTGATCACTTATGTCTAAGTGTATTGCTTCACAGGTACCATCCAATGGGGAGGATGAGAGGAACAAATCTAGCATCGTGGATGATGTTGCCGTGACTCGTGTTGGAGATGTAACATAATTGCAGAGATTGTAGTGGGAAAGTATGTTGTACAAAGCGGATGCAGATGGAGAAGTTGGATTGCTAAAATCAACATTGAAGTCGCCAAGTAGCACAGTGGACTGCTGACATCCCTGAACAGCTTCCTCAATGTTCTGATCCAGTGCTGTCCAACAGCACTGGATGCTGTACAACAGCCGAGGAGCGTTTCATGTCGACCCGGGGCTAGAATGTCCAGCCACAGCATCTCTAGCTCGCACTCTAAATCGGCCCGTTGTCGAACAGCCAGTGACTCATGACCGTACACAGCAACTCCGCCACCTCGCTGATCAGGTCTGTCTCTTCTGTATAGTTTGAAGTGCGGTATGGACAACTCCTGGTCGGACACATCCGGGGTCAACCATGTCTCGGCTATTGCGAGAACATGAATGCCTCGTGTTGCGATGAACGTTTGAACTTCTGCTACCCTCCGCCGAACACTACACACATTCGGAAATCCCACACTGAGTGACTGGACCGAGGGGGTAGGTGGTGCTGTGGGTGTTACATTATAGTTATAGTTCTGCATTTATTTTATTTTATTTTTCAAGTCACGATCAGACTCTGGCAAGCGGACTAAATCGTGAGCCTGGAGCTAGATTTGTTAGTTTCCGAGAATCCTTCTTCTTCACCCCAGTTGCCAACTCTGGTGAGGACTCAGTGCTGGCATTCCTGCCTCGACGTTCAGGCCTGAACCAAGTGTGGATCGCTTCGGTGTTGATGTTTGATGCCACTTTTGATAGGAGTCGCTCTGTGCGTTCTAGATCTTGCTCTGCAGTGTCTACTTCGACGTCCGCGAGGGGAGTTCTGGGGTGTGCAGTCATGCTTGACAGCGATCCCTGTGCAGACGACATGTCTGGCTCAGTATCTGTCAGGTTTTTCAACGCTGAAGTAACCTCCAAAGTCCCCTCTTCGACTTTCGTAGTTTTCAAATTCAAATCCGTTTCGAACACTTCAGTGCTGACTGCGGGTTCTCCAACATTTGACCCCACAGGAGTTGCACTCGTACTACATCCAATACTCGAGAGAGTACTCGGGCTGGTGCTGGGCCTGCTGCTGCCTGGCAACTGGAGCGTGCCGAGTCGGGCAACTCATTTTGGACTCCGGTCTGTACTGTAAGGCTGTGTTTACATGAGAAATTTCAACCCGGGTCGAGTTCAGCCCGGGTTGAAAGTCTGTACGATAAACAAAAGAGGTGAGCGTTTACATGAAGACAGTTGACCCGGGTCAAATACTGATATGCCGCCAAAAGTCCACTTCTACAGTCCTGTACGGTCACGTGAATCCGTTTGCGCGAAATTTGCATCTGCAGTGCCGTTCAAACCTGGCACGAGATACGCACAGAGGTACGTTTGTACGATTTTCTTGACCCGGGTTGATTTCAACCCTCCCCTTGGGGGAGGTTGAAATCAACCCGGGGCAAAATTTCAACTCGGGTCAAGCGCAATGCGTCATGTAAACGCGCCATTCATTTTATGCACATGGCGGGTTGAAATCTGACCCGGGTTGAAACGCCTCATGTAAACACCGCCTAAGTTCACCAGGTTGCACTCCGACAGTTGCAGTTGCGCTTGTTCTGGTGTGCGCGGTTTGCTTGGCGTATGTCGTTCCTGTGGCGAGTTTGCAAGCTGCAGCGATGTGTCCCGGTTGGGAGCATTTACGTAATTACGACAGGTTGCAGGCTGGCCTTCGTAGCGTACACGAAAAAAGTTGTTCGTAGATGTTTTCATATACGCCGGAATCTGCATGTTGGGGCGAAGAGAGATTAGGGACCTTTCGCACCCCGCGTACGGATACGAAACGAATGCTGATTCGCCACCTGGGTTCGAGGATTCGTCAGAGTCCCTGTGCAGAGCTCGTTTTCACGAATGGAAGCCTCTTTGTTCGTGGCGCGCTCCGAATCCGCCAAGTACACATTTATTTGGCCAGGTACACATTTATTTGGCCAGATACAAATGTTTTGCCAGGTACGTACAGGTTCCTGCACGAGTACGAGGGCAGTACCGCGGAATCCAGCCCACGCCGCGATAGCGGCAAGAGCTGGATGAACAGCGGTACTGGGCGAGTATGAGTGATTGGAACGTGTTTCCCGTGTGCACCCAAGCCAAATAAAGAGATACATGACAGACTACAAAGTGTAGACACACCTGCATGCATTGTGTTTTGTGTCTTGTGATTGTTTTCTGGTAGATCTACAGTTTTTTGTAGTAGCCCATTGTGCTTTTTTTCTCGTGGTGCCATTGACATTGTCGACTGTGCATCGGGCAGTCTGACAGTTCTGTTCCTACGGATTTTTCTCAGGTCTTGATCGGACACCTCGGCAAATTGTGCGGGTCCTGCAGGTTGCTGAGCATTGTGCGCTTTGGTTGAGGCTCATCCGGCTCGTGCAAGATCTCCTTCAACTTTTCAGAGGAGCTCATTCACATCGCCAATATCGTTCAACAAAGGGGCTTCTTTTCTCCCAGTTCCAGATCAAATGTTGGAGCCCCATGATGACAGTTGTGGTTGCAAACAGTCGCTCTTCTGCTTTAGACTTTTGTAGTTATGTTATTAGTAACCAATGAAAGACCATGAAGTAGATAGTCAGTCCAGTGGGTACTGCCCGTCGTCACTTGCAGTGGAATCCGTTCCTGCCTGTCGTCAAGTGACGACGGGCAGTGGAATCCGTTCCTGCCCATCGTCAAGTGACGACGGGCAGTGGAATCCGTTCCTGACCGTCGTCACTTGACGACGGGCAGCGGATCCAGTTCCATCATTACTTTGAGCAGGCAGGACCGCGCTTTCCAGCCCACGCTGTTTGATCTGTCATTGGTCAACTCCAAGGCGACAATCACGTCACATACGGGAAACCTTTTTCCCTTGATTCCATGATCCATGCACGTGTGCGTGTAAACACCCGTACGCTAAGCTACTGGCCATATTCGTAGTTGCCATGCACATTTGCATGACGACTTGCGAAACCTGAATCCTGTTTTCAACGAAACGATACGAGCCGAATCAAACTTTCGTTTCGCATTCGATTCGTAGCAAATGCGAAAGGTCCCTAATGTGGCGAAGCGGATACCAGTGGCTAGCCATTGGCGGACTATGCTCGGCCAATCGTCAAATTATGCTTTTGATTATGCCACAATTATGCCAACAAATATGCTGAATTATGCTGAATTATGCTCGGTTCCACTATGTATTCACGCTGTACATAGAGGATTGAGAAACCACGCATACACACACGGCCATGCCCTAAGCATAATTTTTGTCTTAACCGAAAGATTATGCCGACCTTACACGTTGGAATCCGTATATTATGCCGGAGCATAATTTTTGGACGAAATTCCTAGATTATGCCAAATATTATGCCGGCATAATCCGCCAAGGGCTACAAGTGGCAATGGCGAGCCCTGACTTCGTAATTTTTGTCTAAACCGAAAGATTATGGCGACCTTACACGTTGGAATCCGTATATGAGCCGAGCCAAGCTAAAAGGTGGCTTACAGTCCGTTTCAAAAAGATTTGCAATCCTGGCGATCGCCCGCAGAGTTTGGCGTCTTAACGTATGAGCACTCGAGCGCTGCCTGGAAAAACTCACTGTGAACTCGAAGAAATATTCCGCGCGAAAGCAGGAAAAATGACAACTCACTCACGTTGATACAGTCATGTACGTCTGGTTTACAACAAACGAGTTCTTCCTCGTATCGGATAAAGGAGTCAGAGAGGACATGTCGAAACGAAAGTCTTGTAAATGTTGACGAGCGGCATGGGTCCTAATTCGTTTTGTGACCAAAATAGTTTCTTTGAGCTGCGATACAATTTACTCACCGCGTGACGAAAACGACATAGACACGGACTTATTCCCGAGGCCATGACTTGGCAAAGCTATCCGTGTGACTTCGACGACATTTTGAGAAAAGCAGACGCTTGTGAACGCTGATAGAAGACGGCGTTGACTGCTAAATTCAAATAAATTCGCGATCTTGAAATACTACAATAAATCTCAAAAAGCTACTGCGCGATGACTTCCATGTTCACTCACACCACGTACCATTGCAGTGTTGTGGGTGTGTTCATGGTGTTCACTTGGCGTGAGCCAGTCAAGTGTCAGGCAGTTCGGCAGGAAGCGCGAGCTCCAACAACAAGTCGTTTGGTGCAGCCATCTTCTTTGTCTTGTACCAGCTTGATCACCAAAAGTCCAAAACAATGAAGAAAAAAAGTTTGACTTGAGGATAGGTTGGGATTTGAACTCATAACTTCATGGTCAGCAGACAGCATTCATAACCAAAAGACCAAAAAGGAAAGGATAAATCGTGGGTTTTGATACTCGATACTGGCTTCCTGGGCAAATTGTAAACCATGGGAAAAGGCCGGAAACCTGGCCGAAATTCAAACTCCTCAACGGCTGGTCCAATTGTTCCGAAACCTTCACAGAACAATTTGCCGTGTCCTAACAAGCCATTCTATGTACTTTGTTGTCCAAATTTCCCTTATCTTCATACTTTTTAAGACCCAAACCTGATTGTTAATCTTTTTGAAACAGACTATAGGCATTATTTTTGGAAATTTCTTTTTTCATGCCAAAGTGATGTCTATATATCCAACTTCCATCATGGAAATTTTGGTGCCAATCTGAAATGTATATGTGCCATAATTTATCCCCCATAAATAAGCATACATTGTGCACATGTCACAGAATGGCTGGTATCAATGCCACTAAGGATTCCAAGACCTTCCCAAACTCCAAGAAAACATGGGACACCAAGTAGAGACAAAGCTTAGCAGGTGTGCAAGCAATAAAAGAAGAATGGGCACTTGTGTTCTAATGAGAAGATCCAAGAAAGAAGAAATAACAGATCTACATTAAATTTTCATCATGACTCATGTCATTTAATTACGCAATACAATTTTTCATATCATTCAACATGATGGTTTTGGGACTAGATGTTTCGCTGCGTTGGGGAAGACAGTCCGTCATCCTCTCTCCAATCACCTATGCCAGGATGAATTAATCCTTTCATTTAGCTCGTAGTGCTGTGCCAGAGATCTAGCTCCATCGGTGTACTGCCCTCGCACCTGCATAGGTCCAGTAGACTGCACATCGCGAACAAACGGCACTGATTCTTTGTCCATCCCAGTCCATGTCATTCTCCTTCCCTGCCAAGGATACTGGTAGAAGGCGCCACGGAACAATGTGCTAGCAGGTAGAGTCAATGCATCGCTTCGTCGTGTGGCACTATTTCCTTGAAACGAGGAAATTTTGGAATCCAGTACGCCACGTCATGAACACTAAATTGAAGGTAGCCGGAACAAAGTGAAACATCGCAGCAAGAGCCAACTCACCAGGTCGCTTGTCAGAATGATAGTAGGAAGGCTTGTAGACGTATCCCCATAGCTACACTCGCCACTCTAGTCGTGGCCACGATAAGAAACACAGCCACTATGAATGAGCGACTCTTCCTCGTCAAGTAGATTTTGGCTCACACGGATACAGATGTCATCCTGCTCACCTCCACAGTCTCTAGAAGCTCCATTACGATCTCTGGCAGCACTGAGGAATCTCCACAACGATGAAAGAGGGAACACTGAAGAAGTGTTGCTCAAACATAAAAAAGGCTTCTCTCTTCATCCGCTTGCAAACTAGAAAGCAACTGTGACTTTTAGTGATTTTCTCGATTTGTTGGCAAAACACGAAGCCACTTTTTAGCTTGGCGCGGCTCATATTATGCCGGAGCATATTTTTTTTACAAAATCCAAAGATTATGCCAAATATTATGCCGGCATAATCCGCCAAGGGCTATGACAAGGAGTCGTTGACTGGGGTATTAAAAAAAAACATCTGCAGGCTTCCTGACAAAGCTGTATTATGCCACTATGCATAATTTTTGTCTGAACCGAAAGATTATGCCGACCTTACGCGTTGGAATCCGTATATTGTGCCGCAGCATAATTTTTTGATGAAATTCCCAGATTATGCCAAATATTATGCCGGCATAATCCGCCAAGGGCTACCAGTGGCAATGGCGAGCCCTGACTTCGTCTTGACAAATCCATGGCGAAGAAGCCCAACGGCCGATCCAAAGACACCCAGGCTTTCGATAATAATGTCGTCTTGGACCCAGATGGGCACAACGTGGATTTGGATTTCCAGGGAATCAGGCACCAGTTGAGTGACATGCACTTCCACTGACATGAGATGGAAACTGTTTCGGCAAAGTCGTGTCAGAGTGTCTCGGGAATGAAACGTGGCCTTGCAGCTCACGTTACTGTAGTCAGCTGCACGGATATCGGGTCGGGGTAGCCATGTTCAATCAGGGCCTCAGCAACTTCGAGGGTTTTTGTGTGCAGTGGAACGTGGAAAGTCCCCGTGTTCCTCTTTAGAACTTTCGGAGAGACCAAATTCCAACTGCAATTTTCACCGGACGTGGGCATTTTGGAACGCTCTAACTATCTACTACCTAATTTTAAATTATCCAGTCCCTACCCTGCTCCAGACCGGCCTGCTGCCGGCTGGCTCCTACAAAACCTGCGAAAAACTACGGAGCTCGAAAAAAGCAAACTGCCCTATCAGCTTCAGTATGTGGTAGTTACCACGAAGAAAACACTCATCCTCCCGTCCACCACAATAACCGTCATCCCACATCACCCTCAGGAATAGTTGGCTTACCGGAGCACAAAAACACAAACCCCTCAGATTAATCTTTCAGCATGACCTCCATTGGTCGGAGCATGTTGAATACATAGTCAAAGGTCTATACCCACCAGTGATTCTTTATCTCACATCTATCAGACATACATACTACATATATTCTCACACTTTTGCATTGCATCAAATGACCAACATTATGTTCACGCTTTAAAGTTAAACATATACTCTTCGCACATTATCTGCGCCACAACTATGCCCAATCACATAATTATACTCTCGCTGCATACTGCTAGCAGCGTACAATATTCGTATAATTTACGTCGCTCTCGTACTTGGCACTTGCCAACACCGCGGCCTGCTTGCTGTCTCCATTCTCCCCTGAACAAAGCCCTTCATTACTTTTTAAAATTGCTTGCCCACCCAGCTTCACGAAATCTCTTCTCGTACTCTCTTCAAATCCCTGATGTCCCTGCTGTTGCACAACTCTGTGTGCACCTGTAGCGACCACCTCTGCCCGTAAACTAAAGTAGTCATTAACCCCTAGGCCGTGCCCATCCAATTCTTCCTCACTCTTTCTCCTCTCTCACACTATTATTTCTTTTTGGCCACTGACTTATTGGCCACCGGTAAGCCCTGGAATGTATGATGTGGTATAAACGGGTTACTTACTTGAAGCAATATAATTCTTTTCACCACCTGAATCTAAGATGTTGCCATTTGAAAAATCCGTAGGAAACTTGAAAGCGCACAAGCGAAGGTTGTGTGAAACTCCGTTGTAAAGAAGACTGTGCATGCAAAGGACACAAAATATAATGAAAAGTGCGATATAGCCGTCTGCGATCTTGACAGACAGACACGCACTACCGTTGACGACATTACTTTTGACAAACTACCGCCTGCACCCAATAGACACCCTTAACAAACAACGGTAACACTATTTTTTACGGTACTCGTACCTTGATCACCCAAATAGCGTTGAAGCTGCAGCGTAAAAACGTTATGGGGGATGATTTATCGTTGTGACCAAAGGTACGTGTTTTGGCCAAATATTGCATAGACCGTACGAATTTCACCTTGTATCGCATAGATGATGACATAAATGGTTGTACCGCGCGAAGTAAAAGCTATTCTCGTGGCAACAGCGTACTAAAAACAGCGTGCATCTTGCTAAAAGGTCGAGCCCAAATCACGGTATTTTCCCCCTTACGATAATACCGTTACAACATAACCTTGTTAACTGGTTTGAGGGAACATAACCTTGTTTGCTAAGGGTGTCTAATAAGTCTATACTTCCACACATTTACGACAAAGTCAATTCTACGGTTCCTTTGCGATCCGTTGGGTAGAACCAAAGAGTGGAAGGTGGGCGCAGCGGAAATGAGCACTAGCTTGGTCACACGGCAACAAAGAATGCCGTGTGTTACAGCACGATGACGAGACCAGTTAATAACATGACAACTACATGACAATAACATGACAACTACAATTATCCCCGTAGCTATGCAAAGCAACACACGACGCAACTTGGGTGGGTCAGCAATATCAGAGATAAAAACATAACTCGATTTCCGTGTTTTCTTCTAGTTTTCAAATCATACTGGCTCATTGTCCGAGTTCAATTTTCCACACCTGGTGAGCTGTCACAAACAATACGGCGAAACGTACGTCGAGTGAAACTACTGGTTATGGTAGTCGGGTGTTGAGTTTTCATTTGGCAACATTATGTATAAACAAATAGATGGCGTTGCCATGGGCTCGCCGCTTGGTCCTGTATTGGCTAATATATTTGTAGGATTCTGTGAAGCGTCCATTAGTCCACCATTGTGGCCCTCTATGTACTGTCATTTTGTAGAAAGAATGCCGTGTGTTACAGCACGATGACGAGACCAGTTAATAACATGACAACTACATGACAATAACATGACAACTACAATTATCTACTACAATTATCCCCGTAGCTATGCAAAGCAACACACGACGCAACTTGGGTGGGTCAGCAATATCAGAGATAAAAACATAACTCGATTTCCGTGTTTTCTTCTAGTTTTCAAATCATACTGGCTCATTGTCCGAGTTCAATTTTCCACACCTGGTGAGCCGTCACAAACAATACGGCGAAACGTACGTCGAGTGAAACTACTGGTTATGGTAGTCGGGTGTTGAGTTTTCATTTGGCAACATTATGTATAAACAAATATATGGCGTTGCCATGGGCTCGCCGCTTGGTCCTGTATTGGCTAATATATTTGTAGGATTCTGTGAAGCGTCCATTAGTCCACCATTGTGGCCCTCTATGTACTGTCATTGTGTACTGTCACGATGAGGATGGGGATGTCTGTGGAACTTTTCTATTGACTCTGAATAGCCTCCACCCCGGCGTTGCGATTAACGTCGGAAGCAGAAAAAAACGGCAGCTTATCCTTCCTGGATGTACAAATATCACGGAATAAAGCGGTCTAACTACAATTCGAAGCAGCAAAGCAGCACACCACCCAACTTGGGTCGGTCATAAATATCAAAGATAAGTAAAAGTTGGAAGGCTGTCGGTTAGCGCTACGGAGATGTGTTGAAGCTACTTCCTCCGCGTCATCGAAATTGTCGCAGTTTGACTAGTTACTTGTCATTTGTCACTGACAACTCCATAAGCTAAGCCATTCAAAATTACACAGTTTTGATAGTCTGAAGACTAGAGTAACGTACCAGGACAGTTGGACTGAAAGTTTTAATGCAGAGATGAAGTCCTCGCCGTCGCTGATGTCAATGGACGCAAAAATATCGTTCCGAAATGTTTAAGGGAAGGTTGAAAGTTGGTCGCGCCTCATCCCAAACGCTTTGACTATCTCCACAGGACAAGAGCTGCTATGCTTGTCGCCTACTAGCTCTGGATGATTTCTACTTCACCACCAACGAAGCCTAGTAAGAATACACGATCGTTGCGAGGTCGGTTGATTACCGTCGGCGGAATCACCTCGATCTTGAAATGAACTTTTTTTTAGCCGTGGCATGCCCATATATTTTAGCTGTGTGGTCACAGCTCATGCAGGTAAGTGTACTATCACGTCCAGCGCGCCCTCTTTTTCAGCATCACTGGTATACCATGGTATGGTACCTGCGCGTGCATCACTAGCACTACGTGTACAGTCTACACGGCTCTTGCAGGTACAATCATGTACTGAGTGTCTCGGCCAGAGCGACAAATTTTATCGCTGTTGCAGGCATCTAGTTTGCTGACCCCTCGATGTTTCTCCAAGCGCTGACACTTGTTCCACGAAGTCTTTCTCACTCCAGCTAAGGTAAAACAGTGATGAGGCTTGAGTGAATGGCCATAAGCACGAGAAATGTGCAGTCTGCAACGCCTGACTGATCTCAGCGAGTCGAAATTACCATCGCAGCGACATCAGCGAAGAAATTGCGTCTAGTTCAAAAATTCCAGCTTCCAATAACAGAAAATAGAACTTTGCCGTCACCCTATACTGATGACTATCACCTATGTCCGATTCCTTGCCTCTGGTACGAGTGCTGGTGAGTAAATACCCCGTTTTATATCAAAAGTCAAACTGCGACAATTTCGATGACGCGGAGGAAGTAGGTGTCAGGATGTCGAATGTCTCAGTACTCTTGTCAGTTGTTTGCCTAGTTAATGCACTTTCTGACTGTATTATAGTATCCAGTTACAGTGATCGAGAGTTACTCTTAACTCGTATCCTTATGTCCTTTTCCTTTCTACATTTATTTATGGCTCAACATCCGAGTTTCAAATTGCACACCTTATAAGCCGTCACGAACCATACGGCGAAACGTACGTCGTGTGAAACAACTTGTTTTGTAGTCAACTAGTCCATCACAATGTCATGCATGAGGAGTACTGTAGGAGTTTGGCTTTCGGCTTGTACAATTCGTTTTCGCAAAGCTTCCCCTTTCTTTGCTTATCTTTGATATTTATGACCGACCCAAGTAGGGTGGTGTGCTGCTTTGCTGCTTCGAATTGTAGTTAGGCCGCTTTGTCAAATATCGTACTGGTCTCGTCATCGTCCAGTAAGAATCGAAATTCTTTGTTCCGTTGGGGCTGTAGCTTTTGCTCGTTTTCGTTGCGCTTGCCTTCCCCTCTTTGATCTTTCCATAACCTTGAACCTTCCAAGTTGGAAGGCTGTCGGTCAGCGCTACGGAGATGTGTTGAAGCTAGGTGTCAGAACGTCGAATGTCTCAGTACTCTTGTCAGTTGTGTGCCTGGTAATTGCACTTTCTGACTGTATTATAGTATGCAGTCACAGTGATGGAGAGTTACTCTTAACTCGTATCCTGATGTCCTTTTCCTTTCAACAACGGCTATCCAAAGGAATTTCTGGCCTAGGTAACCAACGAAAAACCGGTGACAGACAAGACTATCCAATTTGGACCTGACCGCTGCCCAGTGGTGCTCCGTTTACCCTGGGTTGGCGCCGGTTCTGCGCGCGTGGAGAAGGATGTTCGTGGTATCGTACGTCCATCATATCCGTGTGTCAAGCTGTACGTCATATTTGGGACAGTGTGTGCGTTCAGTGTGAAGAAGGATGTTCTACCTACCCTTAGTAAAAGTAACCTTATCTATTTCTTTCAATGCCGACAATGTGAAGATCGGCATTTAGGTAGAACCCTCCAGCTCCTGGGCACACGCACTCGTCAACATGTGCCGTTAAGTTGTTTTCCGCTTGATGTGCGCGATTGTCGTCCTCGCCGTGGTCGTCCTCCATAATGTGCTGTCCTGTCCTGTCCATCAGTGGATCATCCTCTTCCCGTGATGTGACTGCATGCACGTCCTCCTCTGCGTGTGTAGGACAGGGGCCAGCAGAGAACAGCGTGAAAGATGGTGAAAGACCGACATGTAAACCACCGTCGGCGTCGGGAAGGGTGACGCGAAGCCAAATAAAAATACGGACTGGTGAGGACACGTACAATGACAACGGAAGTGACAACAACAGTCAATATTCGATAACATGGTAGACCGCGAAAACGCACCTCAATACCGGACACCGGACAAGTTGGAGTAAGAAGCTCAATAGAAATCCGCAATGGAGGAGACGAAACTGAAAGGACACTGGGCATCGCGCACCCAACGGCTAGTGTCAAGAAATGTGGAAGGCCGCGGAAACGCGAAGAGACGGATAGTGGTGATGCCACGAAGAGGCGAGATGACGGAATATTGGAGGAGACACCACTCAACGGAGCTAAGAATCGCACTTCGTCAATCAAGCAACATCTGTCAGCCCGTACCAATTGTCGTGAGTTGTACAGTGATAATGTGTTCTCAATATTGTCACGTGGTAGATGTGCGTTGCATTTTGCTGTGTTAGAAGTTTTGTAAATCCGCAAGTTAGATCCTGAACTTTGCGTACAGAAAGAAAATGTGTTGTCGCTACAATTGTTTGGTGTTACTCCTCGTCGAGGTGTTAACAATCTAACTTAATTTGCTCACTATGTAACTTAATTTTTTTCATATGATTTTCCTTTCTTTCATATCTGGCTTCCAAGTGTTGAGTTTTGGACAGAAAAGATCAGTACGTGGCATGTGGCCTCTTATTTCCTAAAACTTTGAAATTCTCCGTGAAGTCCAAATTTGAAATTGCAATTTGTATTTGCTCGCAGTGGACATAGTTTGATGCGCTCCCCATGATATCAAGCGAATGGCCGAGGGCCCTCTTGATTGGTGTTAGTTGCCAGTATGATGCAAGCCAGATATGGATTGATCGAAGAA